TACCATATGATCCAGCTATCCCACTGCTGGGTATTTATCCAAAGAACTTGAAAACACAAAGGCATAAAGATACTTGCACCCCTATGTTCATTGCAGCATTATACACAATAGCCAAGGCTTGGAAGCAACCTATGTGCCCATCAAGGGACGAATGGATAAAGAAGATGTGGTATTTATACACAATGGATACTACTCAGCCATAAGAAATGATGAAGTCCGGCCTTTGTGACAGCATGGATGGACCTTGATGGTATTATGCTGAGTGACATAAGTCAGAGGGAGAAAGGCAAATACCGTATGATCTCTCTCATAAGTAGAAGATAAAAACAACAACAAACAAGCACATAGCAACGGAGAATGGATTGGTGGTTACCACGGGGGAAGGGGGGAGGGCAAAAGGGGTGATTAGGTTCACATGTGAGGGGACGGACTATAATTAGTTTTTGGGTGGTGAACATGATGTAATTTACACAGAATTCGAAATATATTATGATGTACATCCAAAAGCTAAAAATAAATAAATAAATAAAAACCAAAAAAAGCAAAACCAAGTCAAACAAAGAATTGTTAGATTTTCCACGTTAAAAACATTTAGCCCTAAATTACCACAAGTGATATGAGCTCAAAGAATGTTATCTATGATAATAACGATGAGTTATTAATAGTGATTTATTATGATTATTGTCATCTGCCCCTGAGTTTTTTGTCCTTGGAGTCAGTGACTTCTACCCAGTCAGGTAAGAGCCTGAGGCAAAGAGCCAGCTGCCTCTTCACTCCGCCACATGCCAGGAGCCAAGAGCCCCTTGCCCTCGGGCCATCTGACTACACTTGTCTCTTGGATGTTCCTCTGTGGTTTTCCTACCACGTGGCTCAGGAGGACTGAGAGACTTGCCTAGAAATCGTAGCCTTTGCCTGCTGGCTGATTACTATCTGCCCTACGTAGGAGTTTCTGCAGAGGGCTGTGTCAAGCCCTGTGTGTCCCATTATGAGCTTCTGTTGGCTCCCTTCACTACATATTGTTCTCTGTGGATTTTATCTCAGCCGTATGTCAGCGGAAAAAAGTTCTACAGTGGCAAGAACAAAGCTTCTGAGAGGAGGCTGAAGAAGACGGGCCTTCAAAGGTGTAAAACCACGCGGTAATTCTCCTCTAGGGCCTGCATTACAAATTACTTCTGAAAAACAAGCTCAAGAGGATCTCTCCAGGAAGCTCCATGGGGCCTTACCACTCCCCAGGGAAAAGCTGATCCCCAGGCAGAGGGGCAGCTTTCCAGAGAGAAGGGCAATGTTTGGACTTGACAGTCAAACCCTGGGTGCTGATGGTCAGGCTAGAATGCAGTAGGGGCCTTCTGTCATTGTCCTATGGAGCAACACTCCCTCCTTTGCCCCACCTCCTTTGCTACCCTCCAAGAGATGTGTCGGACAGTTTGGACACAAGATCACATATTATTTGGATATTAATCTGCTTTTCTGTGACTAAATAAACATTTATTGAATGCTTGTTATATGTCAGACACTTTACTAGAAGATTTGCATCTCTTATGTCATTAATCCTGAAATACTATGAGATAGTTATCATTACTCCCATTTTACAGATGAGAAAACTGAGGCGTGGCAAAGGCAATGATTTGCCAAAGAATATAGTCAAGTGGTGGAGGGGAGAGAGGATTCATTAATAATAGTCTATAACTTTACTTGAAGCTTTTAAAAAGTAAGCAAGACCCTTCTAATAACTTATTCTCTATAACAAAGTATGCGGTGAGGCATGCAAAGAGGCATAAGACATGGAATAAGTGATTTCTTATTAAAAAAATCTTTCTTTTCTTATAAATAACCAACTCTATATATCAACTCTCTCTCTCTCTCTATATGTATACATTATATGTATACAGACGGTCCCTGACTTAGGATGGTTCAACTGAATGAGTTTTTGATTTTACAATGGTGCAAAAGTGATACACATTCAGTAGGAAATGTACTTCGAATTTTGAATTTTGCTCTTTGCAGTCCGATCCTCTCCCCGGGTGCTGGGCAGCGGTGGGGAGCGCAGCAACCAGTCAGCTCTGTGATCACAAGGGTGAACAACCAACACACTTACAACCGTTCTGTACCCAGACAGCCATTCTGTCTCACCTTCAGTACGGTATTCAGCAAATCAGATGAGCTAGTCAGTGCCTTAGTCTAAAATAGGCTTCGTGTTAGATGATTTTGCTCAACTGCAGACTAACGTAAGCATTCTGAGCATGTTGAAGGCAGGCTGGGCTAAGCTATGATGTTCCCTAGGTTAGGTGTATTAAATGCATTTTTGACGATATTCAGCTTAGGGTGGCTTTATCAGGACGAAACCCCACTGTAAGTCGACGATGATCTGTATATATACATATTTTTATATGTATATATGTATATACAGACATAATAGAACATAATAGAACACAGATTTTGAGTCAAAAGCCTGAGTCCTGGTTCTGCCATCAATGTGGGAAAATTACTAGACCTCCTCTGCCCTTGGGTGTCTTCATTTATAAAACAAATGGTTAAGTTAAGTCGGTGGTTCCCAAATATTGGCCTGTGATGACGTTTTCATCACTCTGTGGTGAAATGAGAAAAGTAAGAACACTTGGCATATTTGTATGAAATCATTTCTTTTATAAATCTGTTAAAATGGCTTGCTTTTATGAACAATGGGATATTTTTTCCCCTTTGACATCCTCACATGGCAAAATTCAAGCATGCCTTCCAAAATGGAACTCTGATATTAAACACATATATGTATTTTTACTGGTCCTTAAATACAAAGGTTTGGGAACCATGAGACTAGGTGATTGCTAATGTCCTTTCTAGCTCCAAAATTCTATCCTTTTCTTAAAATCACAAATGATACTTAATTAACTATAAAGTAGAAAGGAAGAAGAAAAAAAAGTTTTTCTCCTGTTTTTCTTGTTTAGCTCAGCGTTTCCCCAAATGTGTTCTGTGAAAGGTAAGCTCTGAGCAAGATATTGTAGCTATTTCACTCAAAAGGATTCTTAGGCAAACTGAGTTTGGGAAACAACAGGTTAAAAAAGTAAGACAGGTTTCCTAACTAAGAAATTTTCAGAACCTGTAAAATTCTCACATCCGTTGTGACTCCCCAAAAGCATACAAAGTGTGGATGCTCCCCAAGCTCTGGATGGGGGCAGATGCCCCCGCCCCCAAGCCCTTCAGAGGACAGACACTTACTCCCGGACTGCAATTGGAGAGAGGCGACTGTAGGTAAAAGACAGCTCCTCGGTAGCTTCCATAACAAAGAAAAACAGCATTAGAGACAAGGGGACTTGCCATTTATTTCATAATATAATTATTTTAATTTGGCAGGTTTTTCCAAATTACCAAGACTATGGATATTTTCAAAAGTTACCAAAGAAACCTGGAGGAAAATACTTCAGATTAAAGTGCAATGTACCAGACAAAAGTTTTGTGGCCATCTTTGACAACTTTTTTTTTACCATAAAAAATAAAGGAAATTTGTGTCCAGAGATTTGTATCCAGTGATTGCAAATGATAATTAAAGCACTTGGAATTTGCAGAAGTCTGCAGCAACAAAATTACTGCTATCATTCCCACACAGTGACTATAAGGTAAAAGAAAACCATCTGTAGGTATCGAGCTGGAGAAAACCCCCGGCTCCCCCAGATGGTGTCTTTGTCAAATATTTCAGCAGGACAGACGATTAATTCAGAATGCTTGTGGCTCATAATTGATTTGTTTATACACTTTTACTATGAACAAAAACCAAAATTCTTGATAGAAGAAAAACACCTAATAGTGTGTTTTTATTATTATTATTATTATTTTTTGCATAATTCTCCCGTCAGGGTTGAGAAGGTTTACTTAGCCTTTTTTATTTCTTTTTACATCATCATGAGAAACATGAACTAGCAAAATCCTTCCAGCCTTCCCATTCTGGATTCAAGTTTCACTTAACACACTGCGGAGAGAACAGCTCTTACTTGGGACAGGACGATCTTGGGGCAAACTCTCGAGAGAGAGGCCCCGAGAAGGATCTTTTGGGGATTCGGAACCTCACGACCTTTCTTTCCGACTCTCTGCACACCAGGTTTCTGACAAGCCTGTGGCTCTGAGTTACCTCCAAAATTTTCCGTCATAACTGCATGGTGAGTTCCAGCCTGTTTTTCATAATCCTGCTGACTCCAGCAGTCTGCAACTGTAAAAAGCCTTCACAGACCTGGTGTTGGCTTAGAAAACGGCCTCTGCAAAGGAGCGAAAGAGCCTGTGCAGCACTCATGTTCAAAGACAGGAGACAGGCAGGCTCCTGCCAGGGGGATGGTGGGCTCAAGAGATGGCTTATAGGGTCTTAATTTAGTCATTTAAATTTTCTTCTAATGACATTTGTAAATAAAATACCAACACTAAAAGGAGAGCAATTTAGCCAGGAAAAGGGGGAGTGTCCCGTCCAGGAGATCAAACCTTTTTCCCAACTCGGCTGGAGAGAAGTGTCTACGAATTAGCACATGACCCAGCTTTGGCGCGCCCTGCCCGGAATCCTTCAACCTCCACCTTACTAGGTATGTGTGAGGTTTACACCAAGGGTTCAAGGTTGCAGAATTAGCTTCTTTTAAACCTCAAGCTAGTAATGATTTAGTCTCTGGGGAGGGGGATAAAAACACTAAACAACTCTTTTTAGCAGACTACAATACCCATCTATACAATATGATTCAGTATACAAATACTGTAGTTTGAAACTATATCATTTAAGCTACTGTGAATATCTGCTAAACCTAATAAGAAATTGGTTTTCACTTTTGCAATAAAGAGATACAATTGAAAAAGAAATAACAGAGGGGGAGAAAGCAAAAGTTTAAGCAGCTTACACATTTGAACTTTGACTCTCCACAGAATAACTCCGTCCCCCCATGTGCTAAGGCAGATCACATTTAAGAGTAACATTTAAAACCAGTATCTCTTAAAAAACTACTTTTAAAACACAAAACATTAGAGCTACTTGCCTTTTGGCAATTTCTGTGCATTTCCCAGGGCTAGTGCAATACTTCCACAGAGAAGTAGACACCCCAAGCTGGAGAGCATGTTGCATTTGCCACCTCGCACGGGGAGTGATGCTGGTGGGTGTCCCGCAGCCCTGGAGCTGCATTTAAGTGAACTGTCTCCCAGTGACAGAGGCGGGCGGCTGCACTTAGCTGTGCCGTGGGCTTACTCACAGGGGGTGGAGACAAAATGACATCACACCCTTTCCCACATACACCAAGAAAAAAGGCACAACAGCAAAAACATATCATCACATTCCCCTCTGCTGGGTCGTAACGGTCTGTCTCTCCTCTTCCCTCTGTGATATGAAAACTGAAATCATGGCCAATGTATGTTGGTGAAAGAAAAAGTATTTAGGTAATTTTGAAACATGTGATGCACTATTTTTAAAACCCAGAAAAGACATACTTAAAACAATTGGAATGTTAAAAATATAAAATGAAACCTTATTAGGAAGGAAACTGTTTTTAATTATCTAATAAACCAGTCCAATTCTTCTTTTAAATGGGAGTAAACTCATAAAAATACTTTGAATCATTCTGAAGTTCCAATATTATGAGAAACTTTTAAGAGTAAGTTGTTGGTTACGCAGCTGTTCGTTACGTGTAATACACGAGTGAACATACATATATATACACACACAGACACACATACATAGTTATTCTGTAGTTATGGATCTAGAGATACAGAGAAACACTGTCACTAACTGGTCCTCAGCTCTGGGTCAGGTTCTGCAACAGCGCCTCTACCTACATTATTGCATTTTAATCCTCAGAGTGACTGCGCAAGAGACCGTGTTATCCCCATTTTACCAGTGAGAAAAACTGAGGCTCAGAGAGGTTCAATGTCCTGAGCAAGCCAGGGTACTCTAAGGGTTAATAATTCGGATGGGCTTTGGAGTAGAGCTGCCCGGATTTAACTTTGGATGTTACGTGCCTCTGAACCAATTCTCCATCCATATCTCATCAACATTGGGGACGTTTAAGTGCTGGCTCCATGCCAGGTACTGATCTGATCAAGTCACGTATATTAACACATTTATTCCTCAAAATAAACTAGGAGGCAGCATTGTCCTCATGTCCATTTTACAAATACAGAAACTGGGCTTTGAGAGGTTGAGAGAAAAGCCAGAGGCCACAGGGCTAGTAAGCAATAGAGCTGGCTTCTCATCAGGCAATTTAACCCCAGAGCTTCCACTCTTTACTACTAAACTTTAAATTCTAAAGTAGAGATGATAGTACCTATTTTGTTTGCTGTCAGTAGTTTTGGACAGTAATTCCCATAGCGCCTGACACATAGGAAGCGTTTAATAAATGACAGACACTGAAAACAACGATGACAATAATGAAACTCTCAGTTAAGTAGAACTATGACTCTAACCCGGGTACATCCACCCCTAAAGCCCATGTGTGTCCTCTCTCCCCCGACATCACGTTGCCCCAGTTGTAGGCATGGCTGGAAGGACTGGGTTGATAAAGCACTTTAAATGTTGTCTGTACATTTATAGTGACCCCTTGAAAATAGCTTATTTCACGAGGTTGCTGTAGCAGAACCAAAACAGCAAGAGGAAAATGGAATAACATTGATCAAATGAATTTCTAGTCCAAAAACTTACCAAAAGAAAAACTGAAGAGACAGCCGGGCTTCCAAATAAAGCGTGAGAAGGCACATTGTTAAAGTCATTTAGAGCTGGCCCGGCTAAGCTTTCACCATAGGAATGCTCTGGCATTGGCTACGGAGGGGACTGGGTTATTTAACAGGTCTTTTTCATCTCTGATTTTTTACTTGAATAGGCAGCTCTCTCAAACCCGAGTTTGGACAGTCATCCAGCTGGCACTGCTGATCCTGCTTCTATATGCCACTGCCATCAAGTTAAGCCAGTGAGGCCACTGTGCTAGCAGGAAATGACAGGTTTTCTGGGGGGGTGCGAGGGGGGACCAGCAGAAATATTGAAAAGAAGGCTGGTTCTTCCAACAGTGTGAAAGGCTGGTCTGCGGGTTAGGTAATGGAATTCAGGATTTAGTTTCTGCCCGGCCGGCAGGCTAAGTCCACTCTACATTAGCAATCCTTAGTGCACTTTAGAACTGACTGGGGGCTAGTTAAACAAAGGCCAATCTCCTAGTATTTTATTGGAAAAAGATGGCTGCCTCACCCTAGCTAATAGGACAATGAGCATTGAGTGAAGATGTGGAAAAATTAGAGCTCTCCTCAGACCTGGGTGGAGGCATGTCCTAAAGAAATGGACCACGTCAGAGGAGCCATTTCACCTTCTCGACGAACAAAAAGCTTTCTGTCATGTCAGAGTCCCAACCCAAACAGGAGGTAAACAAATGCTCCAGAACTGCAAGGGCCTTGCTCCGTGGAATAAAACTTCAGGGCTGTGGTCATGTAATCACCAGAGGATTTAAGGCTGTTTTCAGGGAAGAAGTACCCTCTGACCGTGGGTACATTGGAGATGACAACTGTGGGATAATTTGCACGTCCCCGTTAGGTTTCTCATTTGTCACGAGAGAATGCCAACACTGAGCCCTGGTTCAAATGCCGCTGCAGGCACTTGTGTCTGTATTTATCTGGAAACACAGAAATGTAGACCTCCATTACTTATGAGGTCATAGAATACTGAAATAATTGTCACCAATATCTGTGAAAAACCTAATTTTACACATTTATTCAAACCCATAGAACATACAACACCAAGAGTGAAATGTAGTAAACTATGGCGTCTGCAGGATAAGGACGTGTCAACATAGGTTCATCAATTGTGACAAACGTACCGCTTTGGTGGGGGGCATTTGGTCATGGGGAGGACAGGGAGTCTATGGCATCTCTCTGTGTGTGGGGACAGGGGGTAGCTATATGGGAAATCTCCGTACCTTCTGCTCAATTTTGGTGGGAACCTAAAACTGTTCTAAAAAATTCTATTTAAAAAAATCCCTGTTGAGAGAAAATTTAGGAAGAACTGCTGGAAAAACACATAAAATGTATTTGTATTTCCTCTGTTCTGAGAAAGCAGGGACCGTGCTTGCCCATTTTGTTTATCACTGTACCCAGTGCCTAGAATTTGATAAGAATGCAATAAGTATCTGATGAGTAAGCGTCAAATCAGGCACAATCCATCAATGTCTCCAGATAGTCTAAAAGTGAGTTCTGGATCAAGCCAGAGGAAGCTAGCCTATGACTGGAATGTACTGTCCTTGGGAGACCATTCTCCAAGGGTCCCTCATGCTTCTGCACATCTTATGAGCAGAGACGCTGATTCCCTGTGCACGAGACTCTCTTTTCAAGAACGAGTGTATAGCAAACAGCCTTGGGAGACAGACATTTGGTTACTGTTCCATACAATAAAGGTAACGTCTCCCTCTCAGACAGAGGGACCTCATGCTCACTTCCTCTTATCAAAGATTCAAAGTCTCTAAGCTCAGGGCTCCTTTCCTGTAATTCAACCCTCAGCATGCATAGGTGTCGCCTGCACCTCTCTGCATTGCCCAGTGGGAATTGGGGCTCCTAGAACCAGCACGAATCCTGGTATTCAGGCTACTGCTATTGCTGTGAGTAAATAAACTGTCCTTTGTCTTTGACCCAGGAATCTTGCATCTCCTGCCAGTTTCCATGAACTGTGCGTGTTCCCTTGCACATATGGTAAAATCTCAGCCCTTCACAGTTCTTGACTTTAGGATTGGCCAACTCCAAAATATTTAATTAGATCATCTTTGGTATAATGCCATTACCTACGTTCAAGTCCTCTATAAGAGTCAACCATGAAACTCTATTGTGCATAAGGGTGTTGCTAGACATTGCTTATTAAATCATATAGTATCCTCTTTATAAAAACCCTGGAGAAAAACCTCTGACTGTTATTTAATGTCAAAAAAAATTGTAACTTTTTTCTGAGCAACAAGTGTATTTATTTTGTGACACTTTAACCAGGTTTCTTTTTCTGTGTTGACTGCTAGAAAATCAGAGCCGATGTGTCCCCAATCCATACAAAGTGTATAGGTCTTTGTGGTGTGCATGTTTTGGCATCATTCCTGGCTTTATTTTTCATCCCTACCCTTATTTCTTGCTTATTTTACTTGGAGTCTTAATTTATGTGGTTTTGCAAGTTGCTTTCATTTTTTTCTGGAACAAGGTGAAGTATAAACAGACTCAACACACAGGAGCTGTGTCAAAATATATGAAGCGGGAATCTGGCAACCTGTTCTCTGCTCTCCTTTTCTGTTCAACAGCTGACCCTGACGGAATTCTGGGACAATGATTATATAGCATCATCTCTTTTATGTATGTTTTCTCTTTGGGAAAGTGGGTAAAAGGCAGGAGGATGTCCAGAACACTACTCCAAATGCATGTCACATTTTTCAGTTGTTTCACATTTGGCTTTCCAAATGTTCAGAATTAATTCCATTATTTCAGATGAGACTTCCACTAAAACTCGTAAATCTTTCAAACTTGGACGTAAGCTCTCTGCAGTCATTTTACCTATCGGTTCACATTTTTGAGTCTCTCATACATAAGGTCCTATGCCAGGAGACTTTAAAAGGCTTATATATCTATAACCAATAATATGCAAAGATAGGCTGTGGTTTTCTAGGGGATGTTAATAAAAATAATTTTTATTATGACTCATATTTGAAAGGGGAAACTCAGTGTTCCATATTTTCAGCCCAAGTGTTGTTTCTGTAATTACTGTACTGAACCAGACCTGTAGTCCAATTGGATAAGGAGCCTACTCCAATGAGGGTACATTTGTCCAGAGCATAAAGTTCTCATCCACAGTGTTTTCTATAGCACAGGGAAGTCCTGCCCCTTAAATGCCTACGTGATGTTTGCAGATCATTCTTCAGTCTGTCCAAAGGCATCTTGACCTGTAGATTTTTGGCTTCATAACCTTGAGGTAATTAGCAACTTAAGCTTATAAAGATATATTATATCCTTTCTTTCCTTTAGGCTAGAAACAAGCTCCTTTAAGACCTAAGTTATACATCTCTGAGCTGTGAGGTTTGCCTTCCTTGTTTTGACTAAATTCTCCTTTCTCTGTGGAGGTGCTGAGTGCCGAGCTGGGCTGTGCAGTGGATGGACTATCTCTTACTTAAACTTCAAATAATGTAAAAATCGAGGGAGTCAAGTGCTAAATGGGAAATATAAGC